CACCTCTGATTTCAGAGGGCTCTAGAATCTTCCATCCTTCGGTCTTCCTGGGGGTTTGAGCTTCCTTCCTGTGGGTGCTCCCTACCCCCATCCCTGCTCTGATTTCAACTGTCATTAGCTTGATAAGTTGATAATCTCTCATCAATTCTTTCTAGCTTCCAAAATCCTTACTGTCATTTTAGTGGGATTTCAAGAGGGGGGCAGTGGAGACAGATGTTGGATCCTCCCAGTTTAACAGCAAGCCCCCTCCTCCACTCCTTACACAAGCCCCTCTTTTCATCCTTCAGGCCTCTGACCACACCCCGTCTGTTCCCATTATCTGCTGCTGTATCACACCACCCTCAAACTTACTGGCAAACAACAAAAACCATTTATTATGTTTAGAAATCTACAAATTGGGAAGGGCTCAGCAGGGATGGCTCATCTGGAAGTAGAGGATGCATTTCGGGATGGCTTACTCACATGACTGGCAAGTGGGTACGGCTGTCAACTAGGGGCTCACCGGGGCTGCTGGCCAGGGGCCTTGGATCCTCTCCATATGAACCTCTTCAAGGGGCTTCTTGGGCTTCCTTATAGCATGGCTGCTGAGTTCCAAGAATGAGTGTTCCAAGAGACAGGAAGTGGAGACTGCCAGTATGTTGAGGTGGAGGCCTGGAAGACATAGCTGCTGCCATATTTTATCGATCAGTCACAGAGTCTTGCCAGGAGTCTTAATTGTATCTGAGGGATTTTTAATGTGTGGAGGTGACTGAGTGATGACATAGAGAGGCTAATACCATTGAAAGAAAATTTTGATCACTCACAGTTCCCAAGAGGAGGGGCATGCCATGCCAGGCAGCACCACGAGGGGAAGCATGAGGGTTGGTCAGGAGCAGAAGGAGTGAAGGGAAACACTGGCTCACAGTCTTTGTTGTATTTTCCATGGGGAGGCAGCTGCAGGTTAGGCAGCTGAGTAGGGTTAGGATCGGCTAGTTTGAATAATTTCAGTGGGCTCTGGGCTATCGTGGTGGTCCCTCAGTTGTCCAATACTTGGCCCTGGGATGATTTGGGGCAGGGGAAACACTGGCTGGTGTGTGAGTGTTAGATAAAGGAGGCAGCTGGGAGTGTGGGCTTTGGATTAGTTGGTTTGTGTACAAAAGGAATATTTGAAGGCAAGTTGTCTGCTGTCTCTAGGAATTAGCTAGCCCTGCGGGTGGTGGGGGGCAGTTTCTCTCCACCAATAAGGCCCCAAAGATGTCAAAGCATCGTAAAATATAGAAAATTAAGAAAAGCATAATTGATACACCAGATTCAAGGGGAGCAGACAAAGTCCCTAGCTCTTGCAGGGATGAGGTCAAAAGATTTGTAGCCCTCTGTGTTTGCCATTCCACCTGAAGCAGTTCCCCTCTTTCCACAGCCACCACGCCCACATTCTCGTCCTTCCCAGCACTGAGGCGGTATGCAACCAGGCGGGACTTTGCTCACTTGCTCAGTCTGTCTCATTCGCCATGCCAGAAGCCCGGGGAGGGCAGCGCCTGGACTGTTTTCTCACCTCTGCATCCCCAGTGCTGGGAACAAGGTCTGGCACATGGTGGCTCATGGACACCCAATACATATTTATTAAGGGAACGAATGAATGAATCAGAGCACTCAGCACATAGTAAGTGCTCAGGAAATGTCAGCAGATACTTAAAATTACCAGCCCTCCTGATACCCCAGTGTTTCCCAGCAGGTCTGGGGAAATGGTGACAAGATGAACCTGAATTAGAAGGGAGAATGTTTGTTCATGTGGGGCTTCCAGGCCATGGGCAAGCCAAGCCCAGCAGGCAGGTGGCCAGGTGGGAGCAGGATCTCTGACTGTCTAGGGGACACTGACTGAGGGTGCCTGTGAGGTGATCAGTGCTGGCCAGTGCAGAGTTCAGGAGAAGAGAGAGACCAGGAATGGGGACTCCAATGATGACGGGGGCAAGAGACAGACCTTTCTTCCCCATGATAAAAAGTGCTAATATTTATTATGCACTTACTGTGAACTAGGAACTGTTTAAGCCTCAACACAAACCCCACGGTATACATGCTATTATTATTCCCATTTTACAAATGGGGAAGCTGAGGCCCAGAGATATAAAGTTACTTGTCCGAGATTACACTGGATTAGCACCCAGGCTCTCTGGTCCACATACTTAGCCATTACACTCTGCTCCATCTCACGGGTGTTCCAGATTAGCCCACTGGGGTTACAGTGATTCACCAGCTCATTCATTTCAGAAAGCTCACTGAGCCTGCACTGGGCTCAGCCCTATGCTTGGTCCTGGGGTCACGGACATGCATCAGACCTGGACCTTGCCCTCACATCTCCGCTGGCCTGGCGGGAGAGGCTGACCTGCAGGGAGACAGCAGGCACTGAGAGTGCAGAGGTTATGCTAGATCTGCACAGCATTCTGTGAGGTCATGCGGGCAGACAGAGGAAGCAGTCTTTCCAGTGGGAGCATGGAGGGGGTGTCTGGAGTTGGGTTTTAAAAATGAATAGGAGGGGCCAGGCGTGGTGGCTCACGCCTGTAATCCTAGCACTCTGGGAGGCCAAGGTAGGAGGATTACTTGAGGTCAGGAGTTCGAGACTAACCTGAGCAAGAGCGAGATCCTTTTTTAATAGCATAATTAGCCAGGCGTGGTGGCGCATGCCTGTAGTCCCAGCTACTCAGGAGGCTGAGGCAGGAGGATCACTTGAGCCCAGGAGTTTGAGGTTGCTGTGCGCTAGGATGATGCCACAGCATTCTGCTCAGGACAACAGTGAGACTCTGTCTCAGAAAAAAAAAAAATGAATATGAGGTCACCAGACAGCAAAGCGGGGAAGGGCATTTCAAAGAGAGGGAACAGTATGTGCAAAGGGCAAACAGAACAGGAAAGCAGAGTGAGTCAGTGGTTGTGAGGGGCATCAGGGCTGGGTAGCAAAGCAGGGAGCAGTTAGAGATGAAGCTGGAGAGCCCTTTTATGGAGTTTGGACTTCAGTAATAGGGAGCCATTGAAGGGTTTTGAGTGAGAGAGGGAGGTCATTAGATTGCCTGAGGAAGGATTTGTTTGGTTGAGTGGAGTGGATTAGAGAGGTTGGAGGAAGAGAGGCCTTGAGGAGGCTGAAGATAGAAAGCCAGGGCAGAGAGAAGGGCATCCCCGTGGAGGTGGCTCGGACTGGATGTGAGCATTCAGGAAAAGAGGGTGTCGGGGCAGCGTGGGCAAGTGGGCGGATCCTGAGGTGGGGAGGGAGGAGGAGTAGGTGGAGCGAGGGAGAGGAGTTTGGGTTTTGGATGCTGGTTCACCGTCACAGGTCTGCTCTGGAAGCCATTCTCACTCCTGCTCTTTCTCTCCCTGCACCTGCCTGCCCTGGCAGGGTCACCCTCTCTGCAGATGCCTGGGGCAGAGGGAAAGGGACGCGGATGGGGACGTGCTCAGGACCAGGTGCGGGTGGCTGCATTCCTTTGCTTGCTTTGAAGCTGTAGTTTATTTTTTTTCTTTGATCTAGCAAGTGACTTAACATGTAATTTATTTTGGAAAAAGCAAATACATTCACCTAGCACAGGAGTATGCTGGGCGTGGTGGCACACCTATAGTCCCAGCTACTTGAGAGGCTGAGGAGGGAGGATTGCTTAAGCCCAGGAGTTTGAGACCAGCCTGGGTAACATAGCAAGACCTTGTCCCTAAAAAAAAAAACATATACAGTAAAAGTCTTGTCTTGCAGAATGATTACGGAGTAGCATAGCAAGCATGCAGAAAACTTTCTTGTCAGAGAATAAGAAACAAGATATTTGGGGAACCCATCTGCTCTCTCCCTTTCTGTGGTGTGATGTACAAATTGTCTTTGGGGCTGAAAGAGCCTCAGGGCTTCAGAGCTCTTAGTGGCAGGGATCAAGGTTCCCCCTTTCCCTTTTCCTGGATGAGGGACAGCTCGCAATGTAAGGTGACCAAGAAGACTGGCCCAGGCAGGTTTTTCCAAGGGTCCCTGCCCAGCTGTCAGTCAACAAGAGGAGCAAGAGTATGAACCCTCCCCAAACTGACCTGCCCAGGGAACCCTTCTGCTGCGGGACATCTTACCAGGCCAGGATTTCATGGATCACTTTGGGAAAGGCTGCAAAGGCAGCTTTTTCCCCCCGCCAGAGACAGGAGTCTCACTCTGTTGCCCAGGCTGGAGTGCAGTGGCATGATCATAGCTCACTGCAGCCCTGAACACCTGAGCTAGAATGCTCCTCCTGCTTCAGCCTCCTGAGTAGCTGCGACTACAGGCACACACCACGATGCCTGGCTAATTTTTAAAATTTTTTGTGGAGATGAGGTCTTGCTATGTTGCCCAGGCTGGTCTCGAACTCCTGGGGTCAAGTGATCCTCCCACCTTAGCCTCTCAGAGTGCTGGGATTACAGGTGTGAGCCGCCGCGCCCGGCCACAGTTATTAAATGTATCAGCAATGGGGACAATGGACCCCGCCCACCCGCAGAGTCTCTGGATGGTCCTGGACAAATCACAGTCCCTCTGCAGGCCCTGGATTTCGAAGGATGCTCTAAGCCTGGACACTTCAAACAGGCAGGTGCAGGGTAGCGGTTGAGGGAATGAATTCTGGACTCCAAAGGCCTGTGCTCACACATGGCCTTGTTATTGATTTCCGTGCAGCCGCAGGCCGGCTCCTTCATCTCTCAGCCTCAGTTTCCCAACAGCCACCTCCTAGGTGCAGAATAATGAGATTGCACATCTACTGCCTGGAGCAGTGCCTGGTACACAGTGGGTCCCGAATTCTGGGGTCAAGTTCAGGTTCAGCTATCCTGCCCACCCCACCTAGTTTCCCGCTTGGTTGCCCCCACCCTGGAGCATCTGGAAAAGGGACAGAGGGTGACAGAGGCCCTAGGGGAGACCTACTGAGTGGTGGTGGTAGGTGGGCTCAGGGTCAGACCCAGGCAGTTGGGGGTCTGCCGGAAGGATGGAGGCCTGAGTCCAGGCGCCCCGTCCCTGACACCTCTTCCCCTAGGTCCCTCCAGACGTGATGGCCCAGCCATGGCTGTCCTGCTTCCTGCTTCTTGCCCTCATGGTGTCTGGTGGGTGCCTCCCCTCCCCCACCATAGCAGCACTAAACTGGGGACCCTCAGCAGGACCCTCCAGAAGGGAGGGGCCATCCCTCATCAGCAAACATCCAGCTCCCGCCGCCGCCGGCCCTGCGCGTAGCTGCCCTGGGGAGGCCTGGGGAGGAATGCAGACCCGGGCGGGTGGGCTGGATTGGCCCCAGGACAGGTGTGGCTCCCAGGGGAACGGGCGGGAGTCAGGTTTTGCAGGCATGTCCAGACGTTCCAACACTCTGTGTCCCTACAGTGGCAGCCAATGTGGCCCCGAAGTTCCTGGCCAACATGACGGTAGTGACCCTGCCTGAGGACCTGCCGGTGGGTGAGTGATGGTCCCTGTGTCGGGACTGTGCCAAGCCCTTTCCCACGAGGCAGTCCCGGAGTGCCGTCCCTGCAGCGCCACGGCTCCTCATGGGACAAGGGTGGCATGGAGGGAGTTTGCTCAGTTCCAGGAGCTTGTTTTCTCCTCTTCAGCTTTTGGATCAGAAGCAGCGTCCCCAGGGCTGTGAGATGTACCTCCCGGGCCCTCACGGCGCCACATAATCAGAATCGCCCTGTTTCCTCTCTTTTTCAGTCTTTCTGATTTCCGCAGGGAGACAGGATCTGCTGGGGCCATTCTCCCTGCCCCGCTCCGCTTGCTAACCTCCCCCACGCGCAGTCCCCTCTGCTTGCAGGGCGAGGGCGGGCTTCGGGCGCCGCCTTCCGCAGCAGCCGGCTGCCTTGCTTTGCCTTCGCTGTTTTTATTTGCAGAGTTACGTTCTATCTATGCCAGCTGAGATGGGTTTTGCAATCTAAAGTTTGCTTTTGAAATAAATGTATTTACATGAAATAGAATAATCAGCCAATTTAGAGACGATCGTAAATAGTGTTGCGCAGACACGGCAATGGCCACGGCAGAGGTCGCAGCAGAGGTCACAGCGGTGGTGCAGGAACACGGTTTCGGATGGATCCAGAGGCCTGGATACCACACTCCCAGAGGGCGGGACATAGGCTGGGGAAGCAGAAACAACAGGTGACCCTATTTGCTGGGCCTCTAGGTAACAGAGGCACAGACAAGGGGGAGCCTCAGGCCATTCCCTCCCTACAGAGCTCCTGGCGTCAGGCAGCTTCTCCTACCTCCAGGCTCCGCCTTCCCTGGGGGTGCCCCCGCCCCTCTGCCCAGGACAGCTCACTGAGACCCATTCCAGCCAGTGGGAGGCGGAAGCGGCCAGGCGGGATTGTCCCTCTCTGCTAAGGACAGGCTCCAGATTTCACACACGTTCTTCTGCTTGCATCTCATCGGCCAGAACTAAGCCGCACGCCCACACCGAGCTGCGGGGCCTGAGAAATGTGGACTCAGCTCTGGTCGGCCTCGCGCCCAGCTCCACATCCACGGGTCTGTTATTCCGAGAGAAAGGGAGGGTGTGGCTGTTGGGGGACAACTCGCAGTCTTTGTCTCACTGTTGGAATGGGATCCAGGAATATCTAAAGCTACCAGATGAAGCAAGAGACTGGATCATAGAAGGTGAAGCCCAGAGTCTGCCCTGGGATTCAGGAGCCAGCATCTGAGTACACGAGGAAAGAGTGGGGAACGGGCTTTGAAGTCGTGAAGGCTTTGTCCATTTGGAAGTGGTTGCTGGGACAGCAAAGTCTATTAAGGGTTATATTAGTCAAGATTTAGAGCCCAGGATGAGGGAGGAGATAGTTTCACTCTGAGATGGCACAATCTTCCCTGGAGGACGGGCTGAGGTCAAATGATTTGATATCTATGAATATTCTTTGTAAGAACAGAGAAGTACTGTATATATATTAAAGATATTTACATATATTTTCACAGCTGTTTTGTCCTAGATAAAAATAAATACATAGAGGCCGGGTGCGGTGGCTCACGCCTGTAATCCTAGCACTCTGGGAGGCCGAGGTGGGAGGATTGCTTGAGCTCAGGAGTTGGAGACCAGCCTGAGCAAGAGTGAGACCCCATCTCTACTAAAAATAGAAAAATTAGCCAGGCATGGTGGCGCATGCCTGTAGTCCCAGCTACTCGGGAGGCTGAGGCAAGAGGCTCGCTTGAGTCCAGGAGTTTGAGGTTGCTGTGAGCTACGATGACATCACTGCACTCTATCAGAGGTGACAGAATGAGACTCTGTCTCAAAAAAAAAAAAAGGAAAAGAAAAATGAAAATAAGTAAACACACACACACCTCTCCAAACAAATGTCACAAATACATGTAACGCAAACGCACTCACAAGCTCCATCCTCCTGGCCACCCTTTAATAACTAAATGCAACTACTTGAGTCCCCTCCCTTGTTTCAGAGACTCCTCCTGTGCATGTCGTTTTGGGGCTTGTGGCTCACTTCCTTGTCCTGCCGCACTCTGTCTGGCAGCTTCTTCCCACTGCCAATGCTGCTGCTTCTCCCCACTTCATCTTGCCCCAAGCTTGCACCGGGCTGCGTCTTCTGTTGTACGTCACGGCTTGCACTGAAGGTCTGGGGATAAGAGAAGAGATTACGACACACAGCACGAAACCATCACCACTGCTGCTCTCGTCCACTGGCCATGCCAGCCTCGTGGGTGCTGCTGAGGGCCAGGCCTGCCAACACGTGCCCAAGGCTTACCTGACCCATGCCGTGGGGCCCCGCACACTCCTCCCTCTCCAGCCTCCCTGGGACGTGGAGATCTGGGAACTGTGATGTGGACACTGACGTCTCAGCAGAACACTGGCCCAGTGGCCTTCCTGGGGGAGGGGCCCATGCCAGGGAGGGATTGGGACCAAACCTTTTGAGTTGGAGCTGGAGACGCTGGGACCATTGCCATTTTTAGTCTTCTCTTACCAAAGCTCGGTATTGCGATTCCAGGGAGGGCAGGCGAGCGGGCTGCCCACCCCACTGCCCCACTGCCCCCGGTGCAGTCAGAGTGACTCCCCCAGAGGAAACCAGGACACTGTTATCAAAAGGCCTCTAAATGGCTGCTGAGTAACAACGTCCTGACCACAGGGGTGGGAGCCCTGAGGACTGGGGAGCTTCCAGATTTCAGGTCTAGCTGTGTGCAGAGAAGCCAGGCGCCCGGCTCAAGCCTCATGGACAACTCGGCCCTGAAAGAGGTGGCGATGGACCCTAGGCAGCCCCTGTTCCATCCCCAGGTGCCGAGGCCTTCTGGTTGGTAGCCGAAGACCGGGACAATGACCCTCTCACGTATGGGATTAGTGGCTTGTATGCATCCTTCTTCACTGTCACCGCGAACACCGGGCAAGTGAGGCTTGCCGGCCTTCTGGACTTCGAGGTAAAGGGAAGGGAGGCAGAGCCAGCCTGGGAGTGGGGGGCGCCTGGCTTGTGCTCCCGCCGGCAGGGAGTCATCTTGGGCCCCTTCTCTCCGCCTGCTGCAGACACTCAACTCTTTCAGCATCGACATCTCCGCAAAAGACAACTACAACTCAGTGAGTCGGAGCGTGGGGGAGCGGAGGGTGGCCCCGGGAGAGCCTACGCCTGACTGTGTCCCCACCTCGAGCAAGCAGAGAGCGCCCCAGTCAACAAACAACGAATCTAATGTTTACTTAGATCAAAATTAGACTTGTCTATTTTGTGCCATACAATATCACCAATATTTTAGTATTTATTATTAATTGATTTTAATTATATCCACATATTGTTATATTGCCTTAAAGCTTTTTTGTTTACATCATATTATATATTATATATAATTACGTATAAATATATTATTTAAATTATAAACACACAATTAAGTATACTATTAATTTATATTAATATAAATGTTGATTAGAAAACGATGTCAAATACCTCCTCACCCTCGCACCTCCAAGGCGATCACTTCCAACTCCCTTGGCTGAATGTGCTGGCATCTACCCTCTTATTTCTAAATGACATGCTTATGCCGCTGTGTCTCGTGTCTGTGGAAGTTGAGGGTTCTGTCTCTAAAATATTCCCTAAACTCTATCCATTTAAAAAAATTGTTTTAGTCACTTGGATATTCATGCATACACTCTCTTTGTAAACATTTGAAAAATTGCAGATAAAGCTAAAGTGGCCTTGGACAGCCCTTCCCAGCCACTCCACTGAAGCGAGCACCGTGGCTATCCTTTCGTAGCACTCACTAAGGGCTTAGGGACATCTCTGCCTCCACGGAAGAAGGTCATGTTTTTGGGTGTCTGCACACACGAGTCTCTCGTTTCTTGTAACATCTGTATCCGGTGTGGGAACACACCATGGCTCTGTAGCTGGTCCCTTGACAGACACTTAGGTTGTTCTCACCTTTACACTCGTCAAACAGAGCTAAAATGCACATCCTGTGACAAGGTAGGCACATTTTAGATTTTAAAAGATTAACTGATGATGTGTGCAGCTTACTTTCAAATAGCTCAGAAAACATGGAGAGCGAGAGAAAAAGCAAAGGATAGGTCGATCTGGAGGAAGGCACCAGGAGTTCTTTGTGCTATCCTTGCAACTTTTCTGGCATTTCGAATCACATTTTCTGGGCTCACCTGGGCTTTCTCACCTGCAGGTGCAGAAGGTAATGCATGTGATCGTGGAGGACAGAAATGACAACGCACCTGTCTTCCAGAACACTGCGTTCTCCACCAGCATTGATGAGGTGACATCTGCCTTAACTCAGTGGGGACAAGGGGCATCCCAAAGCATTTCTCAGAGCGGGAAGGGCCAGAGGCAGCTGGTGGGACTCCAGGACCGGGAAAAGCCTCTCCTAGAAGGGGAAGCTGCAGGGACCAAATCCAGGGGATACGACCCCCCAGTAGTTACAACAACATTTTGCACTCAGATTGGATTGGAGTTCTTTCAGTTGTGAAAGCAAAAAAACCAAAAAGAGTGTTAATTTTCTCATGTATGTGAAAAATTTAGAGGCACCTCTAACTTCAGGCATGGCTGGATCCAGGCACTCAAACCAGGTCATCGAGAAGATGTCTCTCTCCACCCCTCAGCTCTCTTTCTCTTGTTGCCTCCATCCTGGGGGCGGGGAGGCAGTTCTCCTACGTGGGGATGAGAGCATTCTCCGGCAGCTTTGGGCTCACATCCCACTGGCTTTGCAGCTTCAGCAGAAAAACTGTCTCTTTCTCAGTGGTTCCAGCCCAAAAGCCAGGGCTGACTTTCACGGCTCATTTTGGGTCATGTGCCCATCCTTGAACCAATTTCGGGGCATAAAGGACTGTGTTTGGCATGGTCTGCACCTTGGGCCTTCCCCTGAGCAAGCAAGGGCAGGCGGTCCCGCCGGGACTAACGGGTGGGGAGGAGGCGGCCGAGCGGTTGCTGGGCGGCAAGCACAGCGCCACTCCTGAGACTTCATTACCACGCCGCTGCCAGGACCTTCGAGCTGGGGGCCAGATATGTGAGGCCCAGACAGTCGTGACAGGCTCTGATCAAGCACCTGTGTGCCAGGCACTGTCCTAGGTGCTGAGCTTACCTGGTTGCCACTCTCCTTAGTCACACCTAGTGAAGAGCACAGCGAGGGACCGGCGAGAATTATTTCAGGCGGTGTTGACCCCGAGAAGAGCACGGAATGAGGCGATGTGCAGAAAGTGACTGCAGAGGGGCTGCTTTAGGTTGAGTGGTCAGGAAAAGCTTTTCTGAGTAGGCGACATCTGAAAAGAGACTTGAATGGCAAGAGGGAGCCGGCCGTGGGAAGCTCCGGGGAAAGGACGTTCCAGGCAGGGAACAGCAGGGGCGAAGGCCCTGAGGTGGGCATGAGCTTGGCCAGCGTGGCCGGAGGTAGAGGGTGAGGAGGAGCTGAGGGCAGAGAGCTCGGCGGTGGCCTGACCTCAGAGGGCACGGAAGCCGTCTGCACCACATTCTGGCCAGAATGGGCGAAACTTGGAGGGTTTTAAGCACAAGACTGATGCGGTCTGATTCATGATTTTAAAAGATCGCCTTGGCTGCTGTTAGGAAGTATTGAGGCTCTGAACGGGACTCCAGGAGCAAAGGCCTCCAGGGAGAAGTTTCTAGCTCTATAGGGCTGTGTTTGAAATCCCTGGCTGTAGGCTAGAGAGAGCCCACGGGGATGTCTGAGCAGGGCAGTGGCACAGTGAGACTGGGTTCCAGAATGATCCTCGTTCTGGTCCTGAGGGGCTCTGCAAATCAGAAGGTGCTCAGTGGTGGTGAGGCCACATCGGGGAGGGGGGACCCTGCCCTGCCCCACCCCCAGCTGCCTCTAGAGGCGCAGCCCAGGTGGGAAGGAGAGGGAGACCTCGCCCACGGTGAGGCGCCCGAAGCTCAGGAGGGCGGCGGCCAATGAGCGAGAGAAGCGCTGGGTTTGCGCCCCCGGGTGACGAGTGCCTCCCTGCAGACCCTGCCCGTGGGCAGCGTGGTGTTCTCCGTGCTGGCGGTGGACAAAGACACGGGCTCGGCGGGCGCGGTGGTGTACTCCATAGAGCAGGTGTGCGTGTGGCAGGGGCGAGGGGGAGCCACCAGGGGGCAGCATGTCCACGGGCAACCCACGGTCCCCAGGCCAACCTCGGGCCCAGCCCCGGACCTCCCCTGCCCGGTTGCCTGAGGAGCTGCAAGGGCAGCTGCCCAGTTCTCCTGCAGACCCACTCACTGTGACGCCTCCATTTTTTGAGCACCAGCTACGTGTCTGGCACATACCTTATAGTTGTCCCTCTGTATCCTCGCGGGGGACGGGCTCCAGGACCCCCTGAGATAACAAAATCTGCGGATGCTCAAGTCCCTGACATAAAATGGCGTTGTCTTTGCAAATAGGCTGCGCACATCGCCCCGCATACTTTCAATCATCTCTAGACCGCTCACAACGCCAGTCCAGCACTGTATTGTCTAGAGAATAAGGACAGCGCAAAGTCTGCGCGTGTTCGGCTCACAGCTCCTCCTTTCAGCCCGCTGGGGCCCTGCCTCCAGCCCCGCTGCCTGGAGGGGAAACAGAGGCTCGGGGAGGTTCGTGACTGGGTGGAGGTGGCACTGCTGCCAGTGGTAGAGCTGGGACCCGGCCCGTCTCTCAGAGCAGGGTCCTGGGGCGGGGCTGGCCGGAGCAGTCTGGCCTGAGTGTGCTCTGCCTCAGGTCATCCCTAGTACTGGGGACAGCGGGCATCTCTTCCGGATCCTGGCCAACGGCTCCGTCGTGCTCGACGGCAGCCTCAGCTACAGCAGCAAGAGCGCCTTCTACCAGCTGCAGCTGGAGGCCTGCGTGAGTGGGGCGCGAGGGGCGGGGCAGGGCGGGCTCTGGGCCGGCCCGGCTCATGGCGGCCGCCTCCCTCAGGACTCGGGCGGCATGTACGAAGGCAGCGTCATCGCCCAGTGCTCCTCGCCTGTCTTCCTGTCCATCTCCGTGGTCGACCAGGCTGACCTGGACCCCCAGTTTGTCAGGGAGTTTTACTCGGCCACTGTGTCCGAGGACGCAGCCAAGGTGCGCTGGGGACCTGCGGGTCTGGCGGGGGCGACGGGCGGGGGAAGGGACAGTCCTGAGCAGGCCTCCTTCCAGGGAACCTCAGTGCTGAAGGTGGAGGCTGTGGACGGTGACAAAGGCATCAATGACCCTGTGACCTACAGCATCACCGGTGAGAACGGGGTGTCCCCAGGTTGCGGCTGGGCCAGGGCGGATGTGCAGCTCTGTCAGGGCCACTGGAAGCAGCTGCCCCGTCTGCCTCCTCCCCAGACTCCACGAGGCCTGGCTGGTTTGACATTGGGGGGGACGGGGTCGTCAGAGTCAATGCTCCCCTGGACCGCGAGCAGCTGCTGGCGGAGGACGAGGAGGTGCGGCTGCGGGTCACGGTGAGCGAGGGCTCCACCTCCCCCCCCACTCTCTGCCCTCTGACCTCTGATCACTCGCTCTCTGAGCACTGGTTCTCTGCCCCCTGCCCTCTGTCCTCTGCTCTGCACCTCAGGCCACCGAGGCACGCCCCAACATCCATGGGGAGGAGGCCAAGGCGAGCACCTGGGTCACACTGAGGGTGACGGACGTCAATGACCACAAACCTGAGTTTTACAACTGCAGCCTCGCGGCCTGCACCTTCACCGCCCAAGAGGCCTGCGGCAACTTCTCCGGCTACGTGGACGAGCATGCCTCCCCCCGCATCCCCGTCGACGGCCTCACCATGGCGGCCTACGACCCAGACAAGGCAGGCGTGGCGGCAGCGCGGGGCGGCGGGGCGGGGAGGGTGAATGGTGGGCGATGCTGAGAGGAGGGGGCGATGGGTGGCCAGTGATGTGGGTAATTGCGGGTGTTGGGGTGCTGGGCAGGGTGGGTACAGCGCAGTCTGAGTGTTAGGCTGGGGGACACTCTTTTAAATGGGATTGGGGGGCACTGGGGGGCAACTCGGGTGTCGCTGGAACGTGAATAACTGGGTGGTGTTCGGCGGTATTGGGTGCGCTGAGTTGGTATGAAGTGTTATGTGGAGGATGGCGTCGGGTGGCGTTAGGTTGGTGGCTGTGTCGAGCTGGAGGCAGCGTTTGCTGAGGGGTGACACTGGCCACTGGGGTGACGTGGGGTGTGAGGGTGTTTGCTGTTGCAGTGGGCGGCAGAGCACGGACGGGAAGCCTTTGCGGGGTGGGGGCGCGTGCCCAGGCGCTGTCTCCCCGGCGCAGTCCGGCCCCACAGTGCCGGGACAGTCCTCTTCTAGTGAGCGCCCAGCCGCAGGGACTAGTGACCAGCCTGACCTCCTGGGCCCTCTGGCCTCGGTCTTTTGAGAGCCCCCCTCGTGGGACCTCATCAGCGGGGCTTCCCGCGGCAGGAGCCTGCGGTCAGAGAGTGGACAAAGACGCAGGCGGACGCGGTGCGGGGAGGGGACCCCGCGACACAGCTCAACTTTACAGGGCCGCAATGGCACCTTTCTGCTGTCCCTGGGGGGCCCTGATGCACAAGCCTTCAGCGTGTCCCCCGAGCGGGCGGTGGGCTCCGCCGACGTGCAGGTGCTGGTGAGGGTGTCGGCGCTGGTGGACCACGAGCAGCGGACGGTGATGGTGGTGCAGGTGGGGGCTGCTCTGGAGAACCGGGGCGGGGGAGGCCAGGGGCACTCGGGCCCCAGTGCCAAAGCCCCTTACTTTGTCCTCAGGTCGTGGCCACGGACTCAGCCAGCCAGAATGCCTCCATCGCCACGGCGACCATCCACCTTAGAGACATCAATGACCACAGGCCCACGTTCCCCCAGAGTCTGTATGTCCTCACTGTGTCAGAGCACAGTGCCACTGGCTCTGTGGTCACCAGCAGCGTCCATGTGAGTGATGTGGACACAGCTGGGCCAGGCTGGGAGGGACACACAGAGGGGACAGACCTGGGGATGGTGGCCCTGCCCGGGTCTCTGTGGCATCCGATGACATTGGCCTCAGCGTGCATGCATGTGTGAGTGTGAGCGTGGTGTGTGGGGTTCTCCTTTTGTGTCAGGAAGCGTGGCAGCCCTGTCCCCAGGAGCTGTATGGGTGGCTGTGAGTGCGTCGCCTCCATGCCATCTCTCTGCCTCCCAGGCCACGGACCCAGACACCGGGGAGTGGGGCAGTGTCACCTACAGCCTGCTCCCAGGAAACGGGTAAGGGCTCGGGGAGGGCCGAGGGCAGGGGCGTGCGGGGCCAGGCCTGCCTCTCTGCCTCGTGGCTGGAATAGGGGAGCTGGAGAGGACATGGGCGTTCAGTTACGTTTCAGTTTCAGAGAAACAATGACTTGTTTTCTTAGAATAAGTATGTTGCAAATATTGCAGGGGACACACCGAATATTTGTCCTTGTGTATCTGAACTTCACATTTAAGTGGGCATCTTGTATTTTCACTTGCTGAATCCGGCCACCCTGAGCAGGGAAGACCTCTTTGAGGTGGACCGAGTCTCGGGGACAGTGACAGTGAAGAACGGCATGCTGCTGGACCGGGAAGTTCAGGCCGTGTACTACCTGACACTGCAGGCGACGGACGGCGGGGACCAGTCCACCTCCACCACGCTGCAGATCCACCTGCTGGACATCAACGACAACGCGCCTGTGGTCAGCGGCTCCTACAACGTCTTTGTCCAGGAGGAGGAAGGCAACGTCTCTGTGACCATCCAGGTGTGAGCCCAGCCTGGCCGGTGGGCAGGCCAGGGAGAGGGGACCAAGCCAGGCTCTGTGGTCCTGCTGGCCTTGGCTGTGTGGCTCTGGGAAAGTCACTCAGTGTCTCTGGGCCTCTGTTTCCCCTTTGGAAAATGAAAACGTCATAGCCTTATTCACAGGTCACTGGGGAATAATCGGGTAGCATGTAAAGTGCTCAGCACAGGCCTGGCACAGAGCAAGCCCTCGAAGACATGTTGTGCTTTTTTTTTTTTTTTAATAGAGACAGGGTCTCACTTTGTCACCCAGACTGGAACTCCTGGGCTCAAGCGATCCTCCTGCTTCAGCTTCCCAAGCAGCTGGGTGTACACACCACCATGCCCGGCTCATTTTTCAATTGTTTGTAGAGACGGGGTCTCACTATGTTGTTCAGGCTGGCCTCAAACTCCTGGCCTCAAGCGGTCGTCCTGCCTTGGCTGTTCTTTTTTATTTACACCCCTGCCTCATTCCAAAAGGGACTGAGGTAGCTCAGATAAAAAGTACGATAAAAAGATGAGGAAAGTAAGAAAAAGGAGAAAATAAAGACGGCACTGCTAAAGGGCGCAGAGGTGGGGTTAGCACCGGAGCTGGGTGGCGTCTAGGAGTGGGCTGCAAGCTCTGTGCTGAGCTTCGCAGTGGCCACAGCAGAAGGGGAAATGAGGCCAGTGGCCAGGCTCTCAGGGCTTGTGAGGTAAAAAGCCACTGGCGGCTCCAGAGAAACACGCTGGAGAAGCTCCTGTCCTAGTCCTGAGGAGTTCAGAATCTTCAGCCCGAGACATCTGAAAGGGGGTCTTGTGAGGAGTGGGAAACCAGCTCCCCAGAATGACAATCTGGTGGCCACAGAGCCCTCCCATCTTTTCAGGGCTATGTGGTTTCCAGAGCATGTTCCCATCCCTGCAAAGCAGGTGGCCTAATGGTTCCCATTTCGCAGGTGAAAACAGGCTCAGAAACATTAAGTGACTTTTCTGTGGTTGCACAGCCAGTAAATGGCAGCGCCAGGGCTGCAGCCCAGACCTCTCCAGCCTCGGGACCTGGGCCTGTCCTTCCTGCCTGGTACTTGTCGCCCTGGTCCGCGAGCTCCTTGGACTTGTTGCTGTGACCAAGGAGCCCAGCGCAGCCCTGGGAAGCACTAGCAGCAGAGGATGAGCAGACAGGACCAGGCTTTTGGAAACACCATCTCTGGCTGCTTACAAAGGATGCGTTTAATAAACAAGATCCCAACAGAATTGGAATGAAAGAGATGAAGGTGGGATGGGCAGGGAGGAAGGGGAAAGAACTGGTTCTGGGTCAGAGTAGCACAGGTCACCCCACTGGGTTCAAATCCACATTTGCTGAGCACCTACTATGGACCTGGTCCTTTGCTGGGACCTGGGTCCTCAGAGATGAATCCACCATAATTCCTGTCCCCAGGTGGCTCTCAGTTAGGGGGAGGGTGCCAGACAGTTACCCAATGGTGTCACTTGTGGTGTGTTGAAGGTAGCACAGGGGTTGTGGAAGCCCAGGGGGGGCACCAGTCTGGCCTGGAGCTGGGCAGAGAAGGTGTAGAGGGCATTCGAGTGAGGGAACAGCACGTGCAAAGGCCTGGTGGCATGGAAGAACCTGTTGTGTTATTCATGCCGGGTCACCCCAAAGGCAGACCAGGCGCGTGTTGGGGGCCCTTGCAGAACAGGAACGCTCTCTTTCTCTCTCTCACACACACACACTCACACACAAATTGGGTGAGGAAGAAGCTATTTAAAAGATATAGTACCCCAGCCTGGGCAACATAGTGAGACCCCCATCTCTACAAAAAGTAAAAAAATTAGCCGGGGGTGGCGGCACACACCTGTAGTCTCAGCTACTCGGGAGGCTGAGGCGGGAGGATCACTTGAGCCCAGGAGTTCATGGTTGCAGTGAGCTGTGATCATGTCACTGTACTCCAGCCTGGGTGACACAGAGACCCTCTCTCAAAAAAGAAAAAAAAAAAAAGATAAAATAAAAATATAGCTCTGAAGTAGTCATCATGGGAAAATCAGAATCTTGTTGGCCTTCGCACTTACTTTATGTGTTAATATTTTTAAAAATTTTTTGAATGTCTACAATATATTTCTCCCATATCCCCTTCCCACGAGAATATCGGCCCCGTAAGGGAACTATGTGGATTACAGCTCTGTTGCTAGCAGCTAGAACAGGGCCAGGCTTGTTGTAGGTACGCAGTAAACATTTGTGAGGTGAAAGAATAGCCTCAGTGCTTAAGACCTCAAGAGCTCTCGCAAGCTGTTGATCTGAGCCTCTGAGGTGGGAAACTGAGGCTGCAGGCTGGCCGGTGTGCCACTGGCTCCAGGCCCGATCACGGCCCACGTGGGCCGGCGCAGGGTTAGGCCAAGGGGGAGTGGCTGGGGGCTGGGGGCACCTGATAGCCAACGGCAACCCCTGCTTATCTGCACAGGCCCATGACGACGACCAGCCTGGCACCAACAACAGCCGTCTGCTCTTCAGCCTGCTGCCTGGGCCCTACAGCCACAACTTCTCTGTGGACCCCGACACAGGGTTCCTCAGAAACCTGGGGCCCCTGGACCGAGAGGCCATCGACCCCGCCCTGAACGGCCGCATTGTGCTGACTGTGCTTGTGTCTGACTGTGGCGTGCCTGTCTGCAGCACCAAAGTGAATGTCACCATCACTGTGGAGGTGTGGCCTGGCTCAGCCAGGGGCAGGGTGCCAGGATGGGCCTGAGGGCCTGCTGGCCCTGGGTTGGGGGCTCCCAAGCAGATGGCCAGGCCCCCACCAGCTCACGTCGTATTTCTGCCCTTCGCGATATGGTGGGTGGGAGACGTCTGCAGCAGCTGTCTGGGTCGTGACACTGCGCACCAGCTGTGTGGTCCTAGACGATCACTCAGCTTCCCTGGGCCCTCAGCTTCCTTATCTGTAGAATGGGGATGAAAAGAGCATAAAAATTAAGCGAGTTAATTAGTGGAAAGTGCTTCAAAGAGTGCCTGACCCAGAGAAGGTATCAGTAAATATCGGCCCTATCAGTCACGAAGCCCTACCTGAGACCCAGCACAGTTCGAAGGCAAAGACACGGGGTGAAAATCAGCATTGACAGTGTCTACTGCACACTGGCCCTGCAAGGTAGAGATAGTTATTACCATTTTATTGATCAAGAAACTGAGGCTCAGAGAGGTTCAGTACCTTGCCTAGGGTTGCAGAATGGGGTTTTGAACCCAGTCAGTCTGGTTCTAGGGCAGCCATCAGCCCCCAGTCACCTTCCTTTGGAAAAGTGTAACAAATGTGCATCCACACCGTGCCCGTGATGTAGACCACACCCCCTAGGGTTGTACAGTGCACAGCCTGCCCCACCACACATAGCAGCCCTGTGTCCCACTGGGTTGTGATCTGCCACTTTCCTATAAGGATCAGCGAGTGAGACCTCAGGGGAAATGGAGAAACAGAAGCATGATTAGGACTTGCTGGCTGTCCTTAGGGCAGGGGTGGGCTGTAAAAGAAGAATCAAGCAGAACTGCATTTTCTGAGGGAGCGGGTCCCTTCGCCCCTGTGAGCAGACCTCACAACTGCCCTGCGAGTGGGGACTACTACCCCATTTTCCAGATGAGGACACTGAGGCCAAGAGAGGGCAAGGTCACACATGAGGCAGAGGTGGAACGGGATTTGACTCAGAGCTGCACCCTTAGCCATGCCTGTGAGTTAGGGCACCCTTGCGAATGCAGCCGGCATGTGTGCATGGAGCCGGTGATGCCCTCTGGGAAATCACCATCAGAAAGGACATCTAGTTAAGAGGGAGAGAGCTTTGTCTTCCAAGATGTCCATTCTAGGCTTATTCAGAAAAACAAATGCTTGTGATGTCCCCCACCTGTGAGCAGCCCCGGGGAAGGGCCAGAGCGCTTGGTATCCTCCAAGCACAGGCCAGTGCTGGGGAGAGAGAGCAGCAGGCAGAGTGGCCTCCAGGCTATGACAACAGTTTCCAGGGCTCCAGCTGTGCTGGCCAGCTGGGGAGGGAAGGCAAAAGAGAAAACAGCTGGTGTCCAAGGGCAGGACCAGGTCTGAGCTCACACGGGGTCCTGGAGCTCAGCTCTGCCTGAGCACAGAGCTGGTGCTGTGGGGTCAGTGGACTGCAGGAGGGACAGCAGGAGGAGGGGACGAGGGAAAGCACGGGCCACAGGCCCTTTGTAGACACATAACAGTATCAGTGCCAACACAGTAAACCCAAGAGATGGGGAGGCGGGCCGGGCCAGATGGACACAGGGCCAGAGCCTGCCTTCCGGAAGGCAGGGTCTGAAGCAGTCCTGAGCTGTGTCCGAGGACCAGGACGCAGTGGGGCTTCCTGGCGGTGTGTGAGAAGCCGCAGCGGTCCCTCCACATGCCTCCAAGCCCCTGGTGTATGTGTGGCCTGGGCAAGTTCCCTCCTTGCAAAGCCTGTGCCCTCACGGGGAAGGGGGCAGCGCGGTCTGAGGGGACAGCATAGAGTCCGACCCTTGGGCAAAGGAATGACTGCTTTCTCAGAGTGGCTCCAGGGACAGTGAACCTCAGGGAGAGGGGGAGCCGGGACTCAGGCCCGACTCTCCCTCAGGACATCAACGATAACCTGCCGGTCTTCAACCAGTCCAGCTACCGCTTCCTGGTGCAGGAGAGGCGTCCAGGTGCGTCCTCCCTCGGCCTGGCGGGGCCCTGGGGCTGGGGCCCGGTGTGGCCTGGAGTGCCCCAGAGAGGTGAGGGCAGGGCAGACTCCCACTGGCTGGGCCAGGGGTCCCTCTGAGCTCTTCCCCCCTGCGCAGGGGAGCTGGTGGGCGTGCTGGAGGCCCGTGATGCAGACCACACGGAAGCAAACAACCGCATCAGCTTCAGCCTGTCGGGGAGCGGCGCCAACAGCTTCGCGATCCGAGGCTTGGTGCTGGGGTCCGGGTGGGCTGAGGGCCGAATCCGGCTGCCCCCGGACTTGACTCTGGACTATGAGGCACGGCCTTTCTTCAATCTGACAGTGAGCGCCGAGAACCCAGACCCCCAGGGGGCCGAGGCCACGGCAGAAGTCCTCGTGGCCGTGGAGGACGTGAACGACGAACCACCCGCCCTGGACTCGGCCTCGCTCCGGGGCATCCTTGTGGCCGAGAACGGCTCGCAGCACGGCCACGTGGCGGAGGTGGTTGCCTGCGACGCGGACACGGAGGCCCAGCTGGAGATACAGCCTGCGAACGTCCTCTGTACCAAAGGCGGGGTCGACGTGGGCAGCCCGTGCCGCGGCTGGTTCTCTGTGGTGGCCAACGGCTCTGTGTACGTCAGTCAGAGCGAGGCCATCGACTACGAGGCCTGTGACCTGGTCACGCTGGTCGTGCGGGCCTGGGACCTCACCACGGACCCCGGCTTCCAGGCCTGCAGCAGCAATGGTAAGGTGGCCTGGCCCGCAGGGCGCGGCAGGCTGTGGCTTAGGGGCTGAGCCCCACAGGGTCCGGGTTCAGATCCTGGCACCATCCCTTCCCAGGTGTGGCACCGGCGAGTCCCAACCCCTCTCTGAGCCTCAGTTTCCCCATCTGTCCCATAGAGTTGGGTAGTAAATGGGAAGATTAAATGGGAAAAAGTGTTTGGTGCGATGCCCGGCATACGGCAGCGCCTAACTGAGGCCGCTGCTCTGCGAGGCGGTGTGAGAGAGGGTCACACTTCACACCTGTTCATGCCCCACCGCTGTCACCAAATGGCGACGGTAGCCACATCAACAGCTGGCACACACCCAGTTTTTACCACGGCCAGGAGCGACGCCAGCCCCCCGTGAGCATTTCCTCATTTTCCTTCCACGCAACCCATGCGGTAGGTGGTCCCTGTCCAATTTTATAGGTGAGGAAACTGAGGCAGACAGTGGGCGTTTGAATAACCAGCTTACACAGTTAAAAAGTGTCAGGGGAGGGCCGGGCGCGGTGGCTCACGCCTGTAATCCTAGCACTCTGGGAGGCCGAGGTGGGCAGATTGTTTGAGCTCAGGAGTTCGAGACCAGCCTGAGCAAGAGTGAGACCCCGCCTCTACTAAAAATTAGAAAGAAATTAATCGGCCAACTAAAAATATATAGAAAAAATTAGCCGGGCGTGGTGGCACGTGCCTGTAGTCCCAGCTACTTGGGAGGCTGAGGCAGAAGCATCACTTGAGCCCAGGAGTTTGAGGTTGCTGGGAGCTAGGCTGACGCCACGGCACTCTAGCCTGGGCAATACAGTGGGACTCTGTCTCAAAAAAAAAAAAAAAAGTGTCAGGGGAATGTCGTGGCCAGGTGGGATGTACCTAGGCCGGGCCCACTTTGCTGTGTGGCTTTGACAAGCTGCTTCTCGCTGAGGTCTGGGGGCCACACTCGCACCCGCACAGGCCAGAGAAGACTGAGTGGCGCCACCAGGGTCAGGGGTGCGGGTGATGCCTGGGGGAGGCGGCAGGGAGTGTGGCTGGGACTCAGGCTCTTCCAGCCAGGCCTCTGCCCAGAGCCAGAGCCAGCGGACCTTGCTTCCCTAGGAAGCCTCCTCGTTACCATCCAGGACGTGAATGACAACGCACCCTATTTCCTGCCTGAGAATAAGACTTTCGGTAAGCAGCAGCCCTCGTCACACACCCTGCTCTACCGGGACTGCCCTCGAGCAGCCCCCACAGACCCTCCTCAGGCCTCAGGGCTCCCTTACAAAGGCAGGAAGGCCTCTATTCTTGCCTCCCCCAAGGGTTGCAATAGGAAGAGACACCTAAGGTTTCATTCCAGCTCTGTCCCACTTGATGTCTGACCTTGGGCCAGACCCCCCCTCTCTGGGCCTCAGTTTTCCCATCTGTACAATGGGAGGTGGATGGCTTGCTAACTACTGGCCCAGTGGCAGCTGTAACAGGGGTCTCTTTTGGTGGAGAGGCTGTGGGCAGGTTTGGGGGATGAGCCCTGAGCTGGGCTTGTGGCCAGTTGTGGTCCAGGTAGGCCCTTCCCTGACCCCACTGACACCCTTCCTGTCCACACCTGTAGTGATCATCCCAGAACTTGTGATGCCCAACCAGCAGGTGGCTTCTGTCCAGGTAGGTCTCTGGCTCTAGCCTTTGTTGGTCACATTAGCCATGGAGGACATAGGGCTAAGGCCTTCAGGCCTTTCGGCTGCTCCCCAAAATATTTTAATACTAGAAAGAAAATGTTTGGGTTCCAACATTTGAAAAAGAAAACCCTAGAAAGGAAATAAACACCTGCCTAATCAATATAATCAAACTTCGCTAATTGTTAAATTTGGTATTCATAAAAATGTCATGACCATAAAAACCACTTGTAGTCTAGATTTTTCTTACTACACCAGAATTCTTGAATATTACAGAGAACTCACAGTCATTTGTAAATTAAACAAGTTCTAAGCACAGTGGCTTACGCTTGTAATCCCAGCACTTTAGGAGGCCAGGAGCTCTAAAGCAGCCTGGGCAACATAGTGAGACCCCATCTCTACCGAAAAAAAAAAATTAACAATGTCCTTATAGTTAAATAATTTCCAGAGCCAAATTATAAAAATGCTTTTGACTTTGTATGGTGTTGGGTGAGTATGTTTATTAGGAGTTGTGGCTATACCAGGTGGGGTGAGGCCTCCCACACAGTCCTGGGACCAGGCCTGGCCTGGCTTCTCTGGGCCTCAGTTTCCCTCCGTGACAAGATCGTGGCAGGTGGCATCTGGGTGCCACTCCCTATGCTGTGGAAAGGACATGTGCACAGGAGATGGACAGAACTGGCTTTCCCCACTTGGAGCTGAGGGTGCCGCTAGAACAGGGTCTCTCTCTCTGTCTCGGAGCCTCAGTTTCCTCTTGTAAAACGAGGATAGTAATTCTTTGTCCGTAGGTTTTTTCAAGCCTTAAAACAGTCAGTTTCCCATTCTTCAGCCAACTGCATTCCAATGTCACGAGTTTAGCCATGGCTTTGAACAATTTTCTTTAAATAGACGTCTCTTTGAAACGTAAACACCAGCGTTGGCCCCATCCTGAACGGTGATGTCAGTGGACTCGCGGCTCTGTGTGTTGGTTGTGTTGTCCTCTAACGGGCACTAGAATGAGTAAAACTGTGCCGCTGCACCCCCGGTTCGTGGCCCACCAGGGGAACTGGTACTCACGTTGTTAAGCACTGGCATGAGATCCAGGGAAAGGCTCCAGGCGCACAGTGGGTGCTTGGGCGGTCTGAGCAGCTCTGTGCGGTGCTCTGTGTGACAGTGGAGAGCGGGGGAAGCAGGGCAGGAGCTCCACGTGGGAGGGACTTAGGGCAAGGATCTGTTCAGCTGTGGGGGCAGGAGCAGCAACTTGTCCAAACCTGGATCTGCAGAGCGAGCACGCCGTGTTTCCAAAGGCTTTGCTTATTTGGGGCACCCTGGGGAAGGCCGATGGAGATGATGGAGACCAGCCTCCCAAGCCACACTTGCCTCTGATCCCTGTTGGCGTATAGGGGTGACTGGCCTGGCCTGACCTCAGATGTTGTCCGACTCTTGCTCCCAGGCCAGAGACGATGACTCAGGGAACAATGGAGCCATCCTGTTCTCCATCGTCCAGGTGGATTTCATCTTTAAGGACGGGGCCACGATCCCTTGCCAGGGCTTTTTCCGGATCTCCACCTCCTCGGAGGCCGACGTGTTCACAGGCAGCATTGAGTAACTGTGGGCAGCCCCTGGATGGAGGCCGGGGAGGGGACCAAAGGGGGCTTCTAGGCAGTGAGTCTCTCATCCTGGGAGGCATACAAGTGGGTTCCAGAAGACTCCAGCTTGGATTCCAAGACTGAATCGTGCCCTCCCACCTTGCATAGGCTGGCGACCAGCCTCAATTCCACTCTCCAAGGCACCTACCAAGTGATGGTCCAGGCCCAGGATAGACCTTCTGTGGGCTCTGCCCAGAAAGCCAAAATCACCCTGAATGTGAGTGCCAGTCTGGCCCCCAGCCCCTAGTGCCCTCTGCCAGCTGCCACGTCCCAAGTGCCTCATCTCCCACATGCACTCTTCCCCCAGCTCTTCACTGTGGACCAGAGCTACCGCGTGCAGCTGCAGTTCTCCACACCCAGGGAGGAGGTGGGCGCCAACACAGAGAAGATTAAGGAGTAGGTCTGGGGAGCCCAGGAGCAGGCTGTGGGAAGAACGGGGCATGGGAGCCTGGATGGGATGTCTCTCAACCCTGCCCCTGACCAACACTTGACCTTGTCCCTTTCTGCATGTTCCCAGAAGCCCATGCCCAGCCAAGGGCAGAGGGAAGCCTGAACAGGGCTGCCATGTACAATTGTGAAGACTGTGCACTGCACAATGGCACTCTGATTGCTAAAGCATAACCCCAGCCCCAGAAGAAGGAATTTCCTTTTCTAATTTTCACAGAGGTGCTACCTGCTTAGCCAATAGTGCAGTCCAGAGGAGGTGCCCCTTTCTCATTCACGCAACTCCTAATGCCACTGGCAGAGCCCTGGCCACAGGCTCGGGCTAAGGCCCCTACCCCAAGCTTCTGTGACACTGCCCCCTCTGCAGGGCTCTCGCCCAGGCGACCAGGACTACTGTCTATGTTGTGAGTATTCAGGACATAGGCTCCGTGGCTCGGTGAGTGCCCACAGGCCCGGTGTTGGGTGAGGAGGGGAAGCAGCAGGAGGGGCCTGCTGGGGGGTCTGGGCTGCTGAGTCTTCAACCCTGCCCCCTTCCAGCGCCCGAGCCCGCTCCTACCTCGATGCCTACTTCGTCTTCTCCAATGGGTCGGCCCTGACACTTAATGAGCTGAGTGTGTGAGTGGGGCTGACCCGGGGGTGGTCTGAGTGGGAAGCCTGGGGCATGCCAATGTCCCTCGGGCCTGAGTGGGCTTCTGTGGCCAGGATGATCCGGAACGACCAGGATGCACTGATGCAGCTGCTGCAGCTGGGGCTGGTGGTGCTGGTGAGCATGGACAGGGCAGGGCAACGGGCAGGGCAGGGTGCTGGGCCTACGGCCTCCTGCACATACATGCCTCCTTCCCCAGGGCTCCCAGGAGAGCCAGGAGTCCAACCTGCCCAATGTGCTCATCAGCGTCATCATAGCTTTGGGGGTAGCTTTGCTGCTGGCCCTTGTGATCATGACTGTGGCCCTCATGTGTGTGCGGAAGAGGTACTGCTCCCACTGCCCCGTGTCTCCCACTGTCACCCTTCCCCATCACCCAAAACATTGGGGCCAGGGCGTTAGAAAGAGCTTGGGTTTAAGTATCATGTACATGTGTGTTCAATGCCCCGTGACCCGTTGTGAGATCTTGGGCGAGTCACCTCCCCTCCCTGAGCCTGTTTCCTCATCTGCAGAATGGGTATGACACTAGAGTCCTCAATGTACTTAGAGAAGCAACATGCATCTCACACCCAGCGAGACATCTGGCACATGCTACACATGTAATAAATGCTTTTTCCAACACGTGTAGAGTCAGCAGCCGTATCTGGGTTTGATTTCAAGCCTCGCCACTGGCTGGCTGTGCAGCTCTCTGCAAATCACTTGCCTTCTCTGGCTCTTCTACCCTCTGTAAAAGGAAGCCAACACTCTCACCTGCCAGCATCATGGTGAAGCCACACTCTTAGGGCCTCCACTGGGCACAGGGTGGGTGTACAGTGAAAGTGTGACCTCCTACCTCCTGTTCCCCACAGCTACCACCGGAAGCTTCGGGCTACGAAGGCTGCCAAGGAGGCCCGGAAGACAGCAGCGGGGGTGATGCCCTCAGGCCCTGCCATCCCAGGGACTAACATGTACAACACTGAGCGGTGAGCAAGGGTCAAGGGGTGGGTAAGAGACCTTATAGGGTGGCTGAGGGCCATGGCCACTTGACCAGGATTTCTCTCCAGGGCCAACCCCATGCTGAACCTCCCCACCAATGACCTGGGCTTGGAGTACTTCTCCACTGGCAACTTGGATGACATCAGGTGAGCAGTGTCCCTCACAGCCAGGCTGGCAGGTAGTGGTGGTTGAGGTGATGATGGTAGTGGTGGTGGTGATGGTGGTGGTGATGGTGGTGGCAGTGGTGGTGGTGGTGATGGCGGTGGTGGTGATGGCGATGGCGGTGGTGATGGTGATGGCGGTGGTGGTGGCGGTGGTGGTGGCAGTGGTGGTGGTGATGGCAGTGGTGGTGATCATGGTGGTGGTGGCAGTAGTGGTGGCAGTGGTTGTGGTGGTGGTGGTGGTGGCGGTGGTGGTGATGGCAGTGGTGGTGATCATGGTGGTGATGGCAGTGGTGGTGGCAGTGGTGGTGGTGATGGTGGTGGCAATGGCGGTGGTGGTGGCAGTGGTGGTGGTGATGGTGATGGTGGTGGTGGTGGCAGTGGTGGTGGTGATGGTGATGGTGGTGGTGGTGGTGATGGTGATGGCGGTGGTGGTGATGGCGATGGCGGTGGTGATGGTGATGGCAGTGGTGGTGGCAGTGGTGGTGGTGATGGTGATGGTGGTGGTGGTGGTGGTGGTGGTGGTGATGGTGATGGCGGTGGTGGCGATGGCGGTGGTGGTGGTGATGGTGATGGCGGTGGTGGTGGCAGTGGTGGTGGTGATGATGGTGATGGCGGTGGTGGTGATGTGGTGGTGGTGATGGTGATGGCGGTGGTGGTGATGGTGATGGTGGTGGTGATGGTGATGGCAGTGATGGTGATGGCGGTGGTGGTGATGGCGATGGCGGTGGTGGTGGTGATGGTGATGGTGGTGATGGCGATGGCGGTGGTGATGGTGATGGCGGTGGTGGTGGCAGTGGTGGTGGTGATGGTGATAGTGGTGGTGGTGGTGGCAGTGGTTGTGGTGGTGGTGATGGTGATGGTGGTGGTGGCGGTGGCAGTGGTGGTGGTGATGGTGATGGTGGTGGCAGTGGTGGTGGTGGTGATGCTGGTGGTGGTGGTGGTGGTAGTTCTTGGCCACAGACAGGGAAGACTGGGCCTGCCAACAACCTGAACTCCATCACCTCTCCCACAGCCTCAACTCCCTAGATGACAACTCTGTGGATCTAGACAAGAAACATCAGGAAATGAAGGCAAGATGTGGGATGAGTTGGTCCCTGGGGCTTCTGACTTGGGGTCCTTCTCCGAAGGGGTGGAGGGGTAGAGCTGGAGGGACCTGTTACTGACACAGGCAGCCTTGCCTCTCGGCATCAAGCCCCAGGAAGCCCTATGGCTTTAGAATGGGGTCCAATTTCTGCTCCTCCACTGGTTCACTTTGTGACTCTGGGTGGGTGACTTCTTGCTTCTGGTTCTGAGCTTTCTCATCTGTAAATGGGGGTCCAAACATCAACCACGCAGGGCCATTGCGAGGATTAAATAAAGCAGGCATAAAAACCACCGGCACAGACAAGTGCTTGACAATCAGGTTCCATCCTTTATGGCCTTTATATAAAAGCTGGTAGGGGTGGGGAAGAGATCTGGAGATGAAGGAACATCTAGCAAAGGAGAGAAGGTGGGCGCAAATAAACAACAGCACTGTCATTTGTTGAATAGTTTAGTTGGTTAGATTAGACCAAGAGTTCATGGCCTGGCCTGCTACTTAGAAGCACCTGAGGGGCTCTTTAGAAATACCTATGTCCAGATCACACCCAGAGACTCTGATTCCAATGGCCCAGGTGGAGCCTGGGCTTGGATATGCTGTAAAAGCTGCCCGGGGGACTCTAACGTGCAGGTGGGACTGAGAACCACGGGGACAGGTTAGTGCGCTGAGTGGAGGTGTCTCTGGAAACAGAGGAACTACTCTTTCTTCCCAATTTGAAAACCACCACTGGAGCAGAAGTTCTCTAAGGCCCATTTGAGCTGTAATAGTCTGAGAGAGAGAGAGTGTGTGTGTGTGTGTGTGTGTGTGTGTGTGTGTGTGTGCACGCGCGCATGCTGGAGGGAGGCATCCACCCCCGTGCACTCCTCTCCAGCCACAGTCTGCATCCTGGGCTTGGGCCAGTTTCTGTCCGCTGGCCGGGGGCTCCCAGCCTGACCTCATGGTTCAGTATTTATTTTCCCCTGGGGACTCCTTACTTGGAAAGATTTGGTCAACCAAAGCCTCTCTTGGGCTTTAAAATACCAGAATGTTGCACGGGGTCCAGGTGTTACCTGGCGCAGGGAATCTGGCGTAGAGTCGTCTCTGTGGGGGCTGTGGGTATTAATCCAGGTGGCCAGGCAGTGTGGCGCCCTCTGAGTGGACAGAGGCCTCCAGTGCTTCTCTGTTGGAAGATGGCTTAAGGCAAAATCTCCAATGAGCATGTCTGGGGGAGCTTTCGAAAGGGAACAGTCTTGCCTGCTGGAGCTTGTGGCCCTTGGCAGAAGATGCTGCTGTTCCTGGGAGGAGTGGAGTCAGGGTCCCCTGCGGCGGGGCTGGACCTGTGGGCTGGGAAAGGGCAGGGAGCTCTGAGAGAAGGGTATGGAGAGGGAGGGAGGAGGACCGGACACAGAGAGTCTTCAAAGCCGGAAAAGAGCTCAGACCTTGTCCTGGACGGCAGGGGTTGCTGTATTTCCAAGAAGCTGCCCAAGGCTCCACCCATCTCCTGCAGCAGTGAGTGGGCCCTGGGGGCTGCTGGGCAGGGAAGACCATGGGGCCTTCTTGGGAGCTGCCTGCCCCTCCTCTCCCTTGGCTAGTTGGGGACATGGGTGTGGCCTCTTCCCAGGAATCCCTTGGTGCTGTGACTTGTCCAAGAGCTTCACAAACGTTTGTGTGGAAGGTATGAGTGACTGGAGGGCTCAACCACTCCAACCTTTCCCAGTAACCAACAGGGAAACCGACACCAGAGAGAGGTGCTGACGTGCAAAACGTCAACAGCCTGCAGAGCAGAAGCAGACCAGAACCCAGGTCTCCAGTCTCCGGGACCGGGTCACATTATCCTGGGCAGCTCCCCACTTGGCCTCTGTCACGAGGGCTCTGCGGAGCACGGGCAGAACGCTTAGCCCCTCTGGGGCCCCTCAGATGTTCCACTGTTTACCAGGGACTGGAACAGCCCCATCTGGAAAAAGCCCTTGCTTGCAGTGCTCTGGCGAGGGCAGTGGTGGCCGGGGCTCTGGCTCTGTGGGTGTCTCCGCAGCAGAGTAGCTGTTCCAGGGGGATCAGAAGGGTGTATATGTGTGTGTGAGTGTGCAGCATGTCACAGGGCGAGGAGGAAGAGGAAGGGCAGGCGAGACAAGTGAGTGGGCATATACCAGTATGAACTGCAGGTGGGACCTGCCTGCAGGGTGGCATCCCTCTAAGGGTGGCAGAAAGAGACCTCAAGTTCAACCAGGGGCGGCGTCACACCATGGACATGCTTTAGAGCCAGCAGCACCAGTGGTCTGGCCCTTCCTGAGCAGGAGAGCTCTCTGAGCCTGTTTCCACATGTGTAGAACAGGGGACATGACCCCTCCCTCAGAGTTTCTGTGGGCAGTTGAGGCGATGGATGGACCTCGCCCACCATGGTGCCTGCTGTGGGGTGCAGATGGCAGGAACCATGCTGCACTGGCTCCTTGGCACGGGACGCAGGGCCTGGCATTATGCAGGACTAGGCAGGACACCAAAATGCTGTGGCGCATTGGGTGGGGCAAAGGCCAGAGATGTCCAGGCCCACCCCTTCACCTCATCTGCCCACCACCGCCATGGCCACCTCTGGGACATAGCCAGGAGCTGAGGCCCAGGGAGGAGCACGGGGGGACCCCAGCCAAGGAGCCATCTGGTCGTGGGTATGAAGGTCCACCGGTGCCCCCAGGGCCTGGGGAGATGGCCCATCTCGCCTGCCAGTCACACGTCCTCCCCTCTCCCCACAGGAGGAACTGCGCAGTCAGCAGGGGCCAGCTCCAGAGCCCCTGAGCGTGGTCCTGTCAGGAAGGCAGGCAGGCGTGGGGACACAGCAGCAGCAGGAGTCGTCCTTCACCAATGCTGGCCTGGACACCACAGACCTATGAGAGGCCCCCCTGCTCTTCCAGACCCCCTCGAGGAGGCCCCATCCCTCCCTAACTAGAGATGATAATATATCCTGTTGCTCAGCCTCTTTTTGCTTTTGGCCAATCACAGCAGACAGGTTGGGGAAAGATTTTATTACCAATGTATACTGTGACACTTTGTAGCCAAAAACTGTGGCTGCAGGGGCAGGGACAGGGGTACTGAGTGGTCACAAGGGACTTGTGCGGCTCACAGCACAGGAGGGACTGGAGAGGGTGGCCTTTAAGGACAACTGTGGTTGTAGAATGAGCTCATTGTCCTGTCCCCAATACCCAAGACCAGCTGTCATCTAGGCTGCCAGGGCCCCAAGACCTTCCGTGAGGCTGGCTATGACCTCCAGACCTGTCTGAGACCCTCTGGCCTTTCTCTGTCTCGGTAGCTGCCTTTGGCCTCTCTGGGAATTGTGAACCAGTGATCCAGTGGGACAGGGGATGGGCGGGGGGATCCGGCCAGGTGGGTGGGAGACAGGAGTTGGGGAAGGACCACCAACAAACAGCATGCAAGAGATGCCCCAGCAATGGGGGCCGCCACTGTGTGGAAACACACGCGCTCCATCCTACCGCCATGCTGCCCAGGGCCTCACATGCAGAGCCTTGCACACTTGGGTCCTCACACTGATCCTTGACGACTCGGAGGGCTTACCACTCAGGTTTGCATGCAGTCTCTCCCGTTCGGGGGATCTGGCCCCATTGGAGACCTCAACGCACCAGTCTGGACATCTCAGGAGCCTGACTCAGCTCTCAGGGGTGGGGGTGCTGAGCAGGTCCCCATGGTCACCAAGTGTGACCGGGAGGGAGTCGAACTGAGGGCTGAGGGGGCAATAGGGCATCAGGGCTGGCTGGGTTCGTGGGCTCATGGACACGACGGAGCTTGGTAGAGGGGTTCATTTGTGCGTTGGGGAGGGGAGGAGCCGGAAAGATGGGGATGAGAAGGCTCTAGAGGCCACCCATCCCTCGGAGGCCTGCTGCACGCAGAGGCGACCCCTTATAGGGGCCTGGGGCCAGGAAGGGAGCCTGAGAAGGTTGGAAACCCGGGCGTATAAAAGGGGCAGATCACTCGGCCGTGGGTCCCGCCCGCGAGCAGCACCGCGGCCGGCGCACGCTCTGCAGCAGCGCGCGGAAGAGGCCGGGCGGGCGCTTGGCGGCGCCGTCGCGGGGCGCAGCGCGCACTGAGCCCGCACGGCCCGGGCCCGCTCGGGCGGCCGACGGCGGCGCGGGCGCCCCCTGGCGGCCGTGCTCCTCGATCTGTCGCTCCAGATGCTTCTGGATGGCCATGCCCAGCACCTCCACTTCCATGGAGGCGCCGTACACCTCCCACGTCATGCCCTTCTCGTCCCAGCTCACGTCGCGCACGGGCTCGGCTGCCTCCGGGGGTGCCACAGCGGCCGCCAGCGCCGAGCCGGGCCGCACCCGCACTTCGGGGAAGGCGGGCGGCGCGGCGGACGGCGCTGCGGCCTGCGGAGTCATGGGCCCGGTGGCCACGGAGCGCGTCTCAGTGGCGCCCAGCGACACCTGCAGGCCCGCGTCGCGGCGCGAGGGCGGCCTGGGCGCCGGGCTGGGAGCACGGGACGCCGCCTGGAAACTGAAAGCCGGGCACCCCACGTCGTCCTGCGGAGACATGGGGCTCACGGCCACCGAGACGCAGGCCTGCGTGCCCGCCTGAGTGCCCGCGTCCTCGCGCGGCGGGGGCGGGGCGCTCGCGTCCCACGACGGCGCCTTGGTGAAGTTGTCGCGAGTCCGCGGCCCGGGTGGGGGCGTTGCGGCCTCTGGGCGGGGGCTTTTCTCAGCCCCAGCGGCTGCCAGGTCTTTCTGGCCCAGGGTGGAGGCCTCGGCGCTGGGCACGGGCTCCGGCTCCGGCTCCACGTGATCCTTGCTGCTCCCGGCACCCTCGGGAGACAGGGCTGAACCGCAGGGTTTGCCATCCGACTGCCTGGAGGAGGGGATGGACTTGGCCAGACTCAGGGGGGCCACCTTCCCCAAGGACTGGGGCTCCGCTTTTCTGGAAGATGCAGAGTCGGCCTGCCCCAGGGGCACCGGCTCTCTCTTCCCAGAGGCAATGGGGTCTGCTTTTTTTGAGGATCCAGGATCCACCTTCTCTGAGGCTCGAGGCGGCTCCTTTTGCAAAGACACAGCCTCTGCTTCTCCTGACGCGGCACCCTCTTGCCCAGGGAGCTTCGTTTCTGCTGTGACCCCAGACTTGGGCTCTGCTTTCCCTGAGGCCCTGGGATCTTTTGTGGAGTTGACAGGATTCTCCTTCTCTAGAGGCAGAGCAGCTACCCTTCCCTCTGGGATAGCTTCTGCTTTTCCCAAGGACACTGGATCCGCCTTCCCCAAGGACACCAGGACGGCTTTTCCTGGAGTTGTGGAGACCACTTTACCTAAAGCCACGGAGGAGCTCACTTCTCCAGAGGGGGCAATGTCTGCCTTTCCCCTGCCCACAGGGTCCACCTTGCGCAAGGCCAGGGCATCAGCCTTCCCTGAGGCTGTGGGACCCACCTTTCCGGAGGCCACAGGACCTGCCTTCTCCGAGGACAGTGGATCTCCTTTCCCCCCAGTCACTGCCTCCGCTTTCACTTCAGATGGGGGACCTGCTGCCCCCAAGGACTTGGGATTCCCCGGATCTGCGGACACAGGCTCTGCCTTTCCTGAAGAGTCAGGATTCACTTTCTCAGACGGTAATGTTTTTATGTTTCCCACAGATAAGGGATCCTCCCTTCTGGAGGACACTGGGTCCTCTTTTCCTGAGGACACCGTTTCTGTCTTTCCTACAGACACACATTCTGCCTGCCCAGGGGACAAGGGCTCTGGCTTTCCCGAGGACCTGGGATCCACTTTGTCTGAAGACAGGCGGTTCACATTTTTCAAAGATGTAGGATGTGTCTTTCCTGAAGACATGGGATCTGCATGTCCAGCAGACACAGTTTTTGTCATTGCTGTAGACACGGGACCCCCCTCTCCTGAGGAGACAGGGTCTGTGATTCCCAGGAACCGAGTGTCCTCTTTTGTGGAGGACACAGTTTCTACATTTCCCATAGATGCAGGTTCTGCCATCCCCAAGCATGTAGGATCCACCCTTGCTGAGGACCCAGGAGCCACCGTTCCAGGGGACACATGCTCAACATTGCCTGGCGACCCTGGAGTCGGCCCTCCCGGGAGCCCAGCATCTGTCTTTACTGTGGATGCAGAATCTGTGTCTTCCGAGGACACAGGGTCCAACTTTCCTGAAGGCTCAGGATCTCTCTTTCCCAAGGACACAAGATCTACTTTTCCCACAGACGTAGGACCCATCTTTTCTGAGGACACAGGATGTTCTTTTCCAGAATACCTGGGCTCCTCCTTTCTTGGGAACACAGAAGCCATTCTGCCTGAGGATATAGGATCCTCCTTCCTTGGGGACATTGTATCCACCTTGCACATAGGATCGATTTTTCCCAAGGATCCAAGATCTTCCTTTCCTGGGGTCATGGGATCTATCTTCCTGGGAGCCACAGGACCCCCTTCTCCCAAGACTGCAGACTCTGCCTCCCCTGTGAACGTAGACTCTGCGTCCCCCGAGGACCCCGTATCTGCCTTTCCAATGGAAGTGGACTGTGCCGGCTTTGAGGACTTGGAATCCATCTTCTCCAAGAACACAGGATTTCTGTTCTCTGAGGATGTGGGATGAATTTTCACTGAGGACACGGGCTCTGACTTCCCAGACAAGGTGGTTTCTAGTGTCCCCGAGATCAGGGCTCCACGGGCTCCCAATGTCTCCTTGGAGGCTGCCTCTTGGGGAGAGATACAGGTTGGGGAGGGGTAGGCCAAGCTCCCACCAAGGCCCTCAGGGTAGGAGGCCCCTTCCCCAGCCCCACTAGGGCTTCTGTGTCTAGAGTCCATGCCTGGGCTTTGGTCAGGGGTGTGCCTGGGGGGTGCAGGGCTGGCCTTTTGTGGGGAGGGGCAGCAATCCTTCATGGCCGGACCCCCATCCCCCAGGCTCCCATCCTGTGGGCAGCAGAGGGCTGTGGGCTGGGGTCCTGGGGCACTGGAGTCCTTTCGAAGCAGCTGGAGCCAGGTCGGGTCTTCAGCACTGCCCATCTGCCCTCGTGACCATGCTTGAGTCCAAGGTTACTGTCTGGTTCTGAAACAGAGACAGAGTAGACTCAGATTTAGGGAGACTCCATCCAGCCTCCTCTTCCACCCACTCCTCCTAGCAGCCAGGCCTTCTCACTGGGTGCTCTGCCCCTGTCTGGTCCCCTCCTGTCCAGAGGGCCTGGGCTGGAAACACGAACCCAACCACGTCACTCCCCTGCTTCATTGCTCCTAGTGGCCTTTCTTAAAATGATAAAGACTTCTTAAAATGACATTCAAGGCCCTTCACAACTTGGCCACAGCATAACTTTAACTTTACTACCATCGCCCCTTTTCAGCCCCACCCCACGCAGCACACTATCCAGAAGTTATGCTGTTGTCCTCTAGGCCAGTGGTTCCCAAACCTTTTTGGCACCAGAGACCGGTTTCATGAAAGACAATTTTTCCACGGATTGGTGGCGGGGACGGGGAGGCGGAGCTCAGGCGGTGATGAGAGCAATGGGGAGTGGCTGTAAATACAGATGAAGCTTCACTGGCTCACCCGTGGCTCATCTCCTGCTGTGCACCCCCCCCGCCCCCACCCCCACTGAGTTTCATGAAAGACAATTTTTTTCCACGGACACGGCGGGGTGGGGGGCAGAGCTCTGCGGCCCAGTCCCTAGTAGGCCACAGACCGATACTGGTCCGTGGCCCTGGGCTTGGGGACTGCAGCTCTACACCAGGGGTCAGGTGGGTCATTTAATCTGTCAGTCAAGTGCTGCCCTGGAGAAATACCACCTGGGAGTCCCAGCTCTTCTAGGTTCTTAAGAGAATTAGGAAACCCAGACTTTAATGTATAATGTGCTAATTAGTTCAAGATTTTATAAAAACCTAAAACACTATGTGGGCCAAACAAAACATGTCTATAGGCCACCAGTTTAAGTCTATGTAGGCCTGGGGAGCTGTGAATGGTTTACAGTCAAGGAAGGGCCATAGTCAGATGTATGTATCTTTAAGGATTCCTCTGGGATGGGGTGGAGGCTGGGCTGAAGGAGAGGGGTTGGCTGAAACCTATCAGGAGGCTGGTAAATCATTCATTTAATCCTTCATTCATTCACCTAGCTCCCTCTCTGCAACAGGCCCTGAGCAGTTGCAATAGTCTAGACAAGAGATGGCACAGCAGGTCCTGGGGTTGGAAGTTAAAGGCAAAACTGAGAGATCCAAAGGCAATTGACAGGTACCAACTGGCTGCAGTGGTCAGAGGAGGGGTGGCCCGCAGGGTACTGGCCAGGTTGCTGGGCAACGGTGCTGGGCAGGAAATCTGGGGAAAGAGGGAGATCCATTCTGGGCAAGCTGAGTTTGTGGTGCCTGGGGGCCAGCAGGAAGAGGGTCTGGCAGGCAGCTGGATCCAAGAGCAACCCCGTTGTGTTATGCGCTCAGCCGCCAAAGTGAGCAGAGCTCCTGACTCCCTCCAAATCTGCTCCGAAACCATCTCCCTAGTGCTCAGGCCAAATCCTGAGAGTCACCCTTGACTCTCACATCCCATGTCCCATCCATCAGCAAAATATAATGGGTCAACCTTCAGAATACATCCAAAATCTGGCCACTACTCTGGGCTAAACCCCCAGCACCTCTCACCTAGATTATCTCTGCTTTTTCCTTCACCCCATAGTTTACTCTCAATCTAGCAGCTAGAGGGATCTTAGTAAAACCCAAGGCAGATCACATCCGTCCTCTGCTCAGAACCATGCAGTGTCTCCCCATCCTATGCAAAGTAAAAGCAAACTCCTGACAACAGCTCACAAGACCCTGCATTGTCCAGCCCATCAGCCCTTCTGGCCTTTCTCCTACTCCTCTACCTCTCTTCAGCCACACCCCCTGCCTCAAGGCCTTTGCACTGACTGTTTTCTTCTGCCTGGAAAGCTATCCTTCCAGCTATCTGCATGGTCCCCTCCCTGCGGCTCTCCCTGACCCACCCTGTATGAGACAGCCTCCTCCTGACCCTGGCTGGCAGGCGCTTTCCACCGCCTTGTCCGCTCCGTGTTTCTCCATAGTACCCGTCACCATCTGACATATCACATGTATTTGTTTATTGTTTATGGTGTGTCACTCTCGTTAGAATGCCGGCTCCAGGAGGGTGGGGACTTGGTAGTGCTCACTGACATACCCGAGTCAAAAACAATGATGGGCACACACGCAGTAAGATCCTGATAAGTATTTGTGACATGAATGACTGGATGATCTTTCTAAGGTACAGATCCAACTGTGCTACTCCTTGGCTCAAAGTGCTGCTCATTCTTGCTGGAAAAGTAAATTGGCTGTAATCTTTTTGGAAGGGCATTTATCGATTTCTGTCAAAGTTCACAATGCACACAGCATTTGAGCTGGCAAGCCCACCTCCAGGTGGTCCTGAAGACAGACAGATGGTGCAGTGGGGTACACCAGGGCACAGCGGGGGCTGAGAAGAGAACCAGAAGGCAGGTTCCGTGAAATGTGGGATGACCACACGGACACCACGCAGGCACCAGGATGTGTGGAGTGAGGAGGAAAACACCCAAGGTAAATTAAGTGGAAAAAAGCCAGGAGACAGCATGGCTGCTAGGATCCCATAGCCAAGGAAAATACAGACACACATGCATGGGTTTATTGATAAAGAGAAAATTTCTGGATGGAATCCTGTGAAACTTTTAGCAGTGATTGCCTTTTGGAAGTAAGACTGGGGATCTGAGGGTGGGAGAGACTTTTCTTTGTGTGACCCTTTGTGATGCTTGAATTTTGGTTATGTGTGCCCACGGTACTTTTTTTGAAAATGGGGGAAAAAACCTGCAAACTGTAATGACTCCCTATTACCTTTAGGATCAAGTCTAGCTCTTTTATGTGAACATACTACCTGCTGGGATTTATCTCTCCCTACCCACTCCCACCCCTGAAGCACGTACATGTGCACATGCGCGCACACACACACAAGTGCGACCTCTCTGGGGTCATCCATGGGCTTCGTGTTTGCCCCATGGCAGCCTCTACACACCCTGTGCTGGAGGAGTCCTTCCCTCCCGGCGTGCCTGGCCATGTCTTATCCCACGTTCAGGCCTCAGTGGAAGCGCCTCTTCCTCTCGTGAGCCTTCTCCGACCACCAGCTTCCCGGGGATTCCCGTGGCCTCCTCCCCCTAACCAGACTCATGTCACTCTACATGTCACCGTTCACACTGCTGGGTCCCTGACCAGGCCTCAGGTCCCTGGATGGGGACTCAATTGACACTGCTCACCACTGGGTCTCTCGCGCTTTAAGATTATGGGACTTGGAGGGTAAGAGCCATCACTAAGATGGGGACGCAGGAGGAGAGCTCTGCAGAGGCCCACGGCCACTGGCTGGGAAGCTGAACGGGACTGCCCGCAGGAGTTACACAGGGACATCCAGGAGCAGGTGGGAGCTAGGTCGGGAGTACGGGAGAGGTCTGGCTGGAATTCTTTGGATTTGGTTTTCATCAGCATAAATATGAGGGGTTGGATGGTCACCAGCCTGCAGGGGTCAGGCAAGCATCAGATTTGCGTGGTATGGACTAGGTCCATCTTCATTTTTTGCCTTTTGGTAGTGATATGGGCACAGATAAACATTTTTTCTCCCACAAGGAAAACAGTAGAGCAAGGGAGATGATTAAAGACTCCTGACACCTAAGCCGGGCACAGAGGCTTGCACCTGTGGCTACTGGAAGGCTGAGGCAGGAGGATTACTTGGGGCCAGGAGTTCAGGACCAGCCTTGGCAACATAGCAAGACCCAGTCCTTAGAAGAAAATAAGAAAAATTAGCCAGGCGTGGTGGTGCACACCTGTAGTCCCAGCTACTCCAGACACTGAGGCAGGAGGATCTCGTGAGCCCAGGAGTTTGAGGCCGTGGTGAGCTGTGATTGCACCACTGCACTCCAGCCTGAGACGCCTGATGTCCTAGAGTGAGGAGACAATAGAGAGTGTGTGTGTGGGGGGTCTGTGGCAAACTGGAGGGCACTGGCCCATTCTAAAGGGGCAACTGCACTTAATTCCTGCCAATTGTGGCCAGTTAGGAATTCATCCATAAACTCAACATTTATTGAGCACACAGGCAATGTCCCTGTTCTGGGACAGGGGATACAGCAGTGGATAAGGAATGCAGGGTCCCTGCCTTCTAGGTGCAGAAAGATATTAAACGAATAGCAAATAAATGATATAATTTCAAATAATGGGTGCTGTGAAGACAAAGGAGTGGGCAGCTGGTTTAGACATGTGGCCAAGAAAGCCCCCTGTGAGGAGGTCATCGTCTGGGCCAGCCGTGAAAAGGCCTGAGTGCCTGGAGTGGAGTCGGAAGGGGGAGAGGGAGGTGGGGCGGGAAGGGGAGCAGGATGGGGGACAGTTCATCCTGAGGGTACTGGGAAATCCCTGGGAGTGTTTTAAGCAGGGCAGTGAACATGGCCCCTGCATGGCCAGGTGTCCTAATTTTAGAGCAAAGTCATAAATCTGGATATCTGTATTTTAAATATTGGCTTATTTAAAAAATATCACACAGGCCAAACAAAAGCTTTTGTGAGCCAGCTTTGACCCCTAGGTCACCTGCTTGCAGCCCCTTAGGTCCTTGACTACAGGAAAGGATGTTATAAGCTGGAGTAACTGGGGAGACAGGCAAAAGAAAGGGCCGGGATCTGCCTGCCTCTGTTTCCTCCTCTGGAAAACAGGACTTCAACAGCTGCCTAGCAGGTGTATGGGGAGTTTAGGCTGGAACTGGAAGGAGTCAGCCCTCCAGCTAGGAACGGTGCTCTGGGTCCTGGCCGCCCCTCATTTCAGCCCTGCCCGGCCCTGGAGTCCCCACACGCCAAGGCACCTCCCCGGCTGAGGCCTCGGCAGAAAGTCAGGACAGCTGACCACTCACCAGCTCGGAGCCCGCCAGCGAGGCCATTCTCCTCACTGGGGACCCTGAAGAACCCACCCCCTGCTCCTCAGGGCTGCAGTGAGAATTAAAGAAAATGAGGGGTGTGCCTGGCTCTGCTCACTTTAGGGCCGGGCTGTGTACATGGAAGGCCTGTTTTTATCTACTCGG